AACGTTTAATTATTATATAAGATATGGGCTGGAAAGCATCGATGATTATTGTAAATAATCCAATAAAAGTTGATCACAAGGAGATATTGAATAAATTAGGATTTAAAGGATACTCACTTTATTATTCATACCCTGTAAAGCTCCAATTCCATATAATCCTCCAGACTGAGATACTACAATGTCTTTAAGACTCATAGAGCCTGTCATCATCACAATTGTTATAATGAGCATACCCATAGCTAACTCATACGAAATCATCTGTGAACTGGCACGAATAGAGGAGAATAGAGAGTATTTGTTATTGCTAGACCAACCACCTAAAAGTATGCCATAAATACCAACAGATAAGAATCCAAGAATGTATAATATACCTATATTGATATCCGATAATTGAAGGGAAATTACTTTGCCGTGGTATAAAAAATCAGCACCCCATGGTATGACCGCACTAGTCATGGTAGCGGTAAACATAGCTATACCAGGACTCACTATAAATAATATCTTATCTGCACTAGAAGGGACAAAATCTTCTTTGAAAAACATTTTACCACCATCGGCTAATGGCTGCAAAAGTCCAAAAGGCCCAGCTCTATTCGGGCCAATACGATCCTGTAAAAAGGCCGCAACCTTCCTTTCCATATAGGTCGAATACATAGCTACTACGAGAGATAAGGTAAATATACCTATTGCTAGAGCGGATTTTTCAATGATAAATTCCATTATGAATCGTTAATGTTTATACTAAAGGGCAAATTTATTAATTATTAATTAATCATAGTGAATGAAAATAGGCAAGCAAGAATATCTTAAACTGTAGTGTTTTATTCTGATTTCCTTAAAATAACTTGCCTATTCGCATTATATTTATCAAATTTGCTAATCCAAATTTCTATATTCTAATATCTCCGATCTAACATCTAAAACCATGAATCCTTTCGAACTCTACAATCCCACCAAGCTCATTTTCGGCACAGAATCTTTTTTGAGAATATCCCATGAAATACCAGAAGGCGCTAAGGTTCTCTTGACTTATGGTGGCGGCAGTATCAAATCCAATGGAGTCTACGACGCTGTAATAAAGGAGTTAAAAAACTTTCAAGTCATTGAATTCGGCGGAATAGAGGCAAATCCTACCTTTGAAACCCTATCCATTGCTTTAGAAATAATAAAGAAAGAGAATATAAATTTTCTATTCGCTGTGGGTGGCGGTTCGGTCATAGATGGTACGAAATTTTTAGCGGCAGCAGCTTTATTTGAAGGAGATACTTGGGATATACTAAAGAAAGGAATACGAGTCACCAAGGCGTTACCATTTGCGAGTGTTTTGACATTGCCAGCTACAGGCTCCGAAATGAATAGTGGTGCTGTCATCACTAGAAAATCCACTGGAGAGAAACTCGGTATGGGAAGCCCAGTATTGTTTCCTAAGTTTTCCTGTCTCAATCCAGAAGTCATCAAATCACTCCCTCAGCGTCAGTTGAAAAATGGTATAGTCGATGCCTTTACACACGTACTAGAGCAATATATGACCTATCCTATAGGAGCAGAACTCCAAGATAGAATTTCGGAGAGCATACTCAAAACCCTGATAGATATAGCTCCCAAAGTCATATTCGAACCGTATGATCAGAACATAGCTTCTAATTTTATGTGGTGCTGTACGATGGCGCTCAATGGTTTGATTCAGAAAGGAGTTCCTACCGACTGGGCTACCCACATGATAGGGCACGAATTGACAGCAAAATATGATATAGACCACGCTATGACCTTAGCCATTATTTTCCCGAATCTATGGAGATATAAATTTGAAAATAAAAAGGAAAAACTGGCGCAATATGCAGAGCGTATATTTAGTGTAAATACGGGAAGTACGGAAGAAAAAGCGGATCAAGCCATTCAGAAAACGATTGAGTTTTTGCATAGTATTGATGTGAAAACGAAATTGAGCGAATACACAGAAAACTATAATGGCTTCTCAGACGAAGTCAAGCAAACCTTTGAAACTCGGAATTGGGTAGCGCTAGGGGAGCGAAAAGATATTACTCCTGAGGATGTGAGGAAGATTGTGGAGATGAGTTGTTAGGTAAATGAAATTAATAACGTTTAATTATTATATAAGATATGGGCTGGAAAGCATCGATGATTATTGTAAATAATCCAATAAAAGTTGATCACAAGGAGATATTGAATAAATTAGGATTTAAAGGATACTCACTTTATTATTCNACATGATAGGGCACGAATTGACAGCAAAATATGATATAGACCACGCTATGACCTTAGCCATTATTTTCCCGAATCTATGGAGATATAAATTTGAAAATAAAAAGGAAAAACTGGCGCAATATGCAGAGCGTATATTTAGTGTAAATACGGGAAGTACGGAAGAAAAAGCGGATCAAGCCATTCAGAAAACGATTGAGTTTTTGCATAGTATTGATGTGAAAACGAAATTGAGCGAATACACAGAAAACTATAATGGCTTCTCAGACGAAGTCAAGCAAACCTTTGAAACTCGGAATTGGGTAGCGCTAGGGGAGCGAAAAGATATTACTCCTGAGGATGTGAGGAAGATTGTGGAGATGAGTTGTTAGGTAAATGAAATTAATAACGTTTAATTATTATATAAGATATGGGCTGGAAAGCATCGATGATTATTGTAAATAATCCAATAAAAGTTGATCACAAGGAGATATTGAATAAATTAGGATTTAAAGGATACTCACTTTATTATTCGAAAAATGTTGGCGACATATTCTCTTTTTATAACAATAATGAAGTTTTTATTGGTGAATATAAAAATAACTTAATTATTTGCAATTGGATACTGCCTGAGAATTTGCTTTTAGATAAGACTACAGATGCAGAAATAAATCTCCTCTCTTTATTTCCGACTTCAGAGATTTGTGTAATTGAGTTAGTTAGTACAGTGAATTTTTGGGGATTCAAAATTTTCAAAAATCAAAAATTAATAAGGCATAAAGTGGGAGATGCAGACCAAGGCACGCATATCGATATTGGAGAGCCTTTGCCAGAGGAGTTAGAGCTTTTAAGCAAGTCATTTTTAGACGATGAAGGAAATAGAAAATACAATCTAGAAGAAGACGAAGATGAACCATATTCTGAAGATCAAGTAGGCGAAGAATTTATTTTTGAAATTGTTTCGAGATATTTTAATCAAAGATTAGATGAGGAAGATGAGTTTTTTGATGAAACGCTTCTAACAGGTTATAAAAAAAGTTGGTGGAGGTTTTGGTGATTTCTTTAGGCATTTCACCTGCTTATCTATGTTTGAATTAGCTAAAAACAGTAGACCATTTTAATAATATGAGATTTATTTATTACCTAGCTCTTGTCTTCATAGGTTTTGTAAAGCCTTTGTTTGGGCAAAATCTCATTTATACTCCAATTGTTGTTAATCAATGTAAGGGTAAGAAAATTGATTCTATCAAGTTTTTATTGTATGATAATGACTATCAGTTACTGGATTCATCAAGTACTTCATTCAATGTTAAAAAAAATGACAGTTTTTCTTTAATAGCAGAAGTGAAAAACTCACCATCCACCTATCATCTAAACACTTGGATTACATTAGAAAAAAGTTCAACAATTGATACCTTTTACACCCCCATTCTAACCCGCGGATACATTGTTAGTAATCCAATAGAGTATTTTAGTAAATGTGGAGAACCCGCAAATGGAAGCGTGCAAGATTTTTATGTAAATACTATACTAAGAATGAAGGGACAATTTAAAGATGGTCTGCCAATTGATTCGGTATTTCAGTATTATTATGATGGAAAATTGATGAGATTGGATATTCCAAATATGGATGTTAAGAAAAATAGAAGTAACCAGTATTTAAAATCATTTAGGTTTTTTGAAAATGGTCAAATTCAATATGAAAATCATTGGAATGAGAAATATATTAAAAATTTCTATCAATCAGGTCAACTTAAATCATTTTTTAACTGGTCTAATCGCCAATATATTCTGAAAGAAGAGTACTATCGAAATGGTAAACAAAGTTTGATTATAAATAGTAAACATAAAAAACGATATAATGAAACCGGAAGTGAATTAGAGTTTACTTCTAGAAAAATCATTATAGATTTCAATATTTTCACTGATAGATTTTATAATTATTCAACAATTTTGTTTGATTCAAATGGTCAGAAGAAATATGAACTCTTTTATTTTGGAATTAATTTTGGACAATTTAGAAGTGTAATTTTTCCCGAACTATTGACCGATATAGAAGATTACCAGATTGATTATATATATAATTATGAAAGTGGAATTCTAAAAGAAAAAATTGAACGCAATTCAGTATATAATAAAGATAGTATTTCTAGCACTTTCGATTTCTATACCTTAGAAGACAAAAAATGGGTTAGAAAAAACACCCCTAATAAATTTGATTTGAAACTGTTCTTAAAGTCGCTTTTACCTTATAGTCACTCTTCGTAATACTACAATATGGACTAATGCTTAACTCTTCTTCCTCTGCACCACATCTATATTGTGAAAAAGAACCTCTTCACCCAAGGCAGAGATTTTATCTTATTCGACTTCATTAATATATTCGATTTCGAAATTGGAAAAGTAGCCGAAAACTTCGGTAGTAACCTCAATACAAATAGCACCTTTCTTATTTTTGCGGTGAATAATTAATTTATTCGCCGTATATTTGCGGTGAATATTGGTTTTTTTCTCCGCATCCTATAAGTATTTATGGCAAAATACATTTATCAATATAAGAACTGGTCCCAATTCACATGGGATGAGTCTAGAATTTCTGCAATACTTGGAGAGGTGCGGAATCTTCAAGGCAAAATAGCTGGAAAAATGTCAATACTTTGTTTTTCTGAACGAGATGAAGCTAGTTTGACTTCTTTAACTATCGATGTCTTAAAGTCTTCAGAGATAGAAGGAGAAATACTAAATTATGACCAGGTGCGCTCTTCTATAGCTAAAAAATTAGGGATAAATATTGGTGGATTGAAAACTATAGATAGAAATGTCGAAGGTGTGGTAGAAATGATGCTAGATGCAACTCAAAATTATCAAAAACAATTAAGTCATGACAGGTTTTTCAGCTGGAATGCAGCTCTTTTCCCGACAGGATATAGCGGTATGCATAAACTAGAAGTGGGGCAATATAGAACTGGGGAAATGCAAATAGTTTCTGGTCCTATTGGAAAAGAGAAAATTCATTATGAAGCCATCGAACCAAAAAAACTGGTTAAAGAAATGAATACTTTTTTAGACTGGATAAATGGCAATGTAAATCTGGACCCTGTATTGAAAGCTGCTGTCGCCCATTTTTGGTTTATCATTATTCACCCATTTGAGGATGGGAATGGCAGAATCGCTCGCGCTATTGCAGATTTATTATTGAGTCGTGCAGAAGGCAGCCCTGAAAGATTTTATAGTATGTCTAGTCAGCTGATGGTTCAAAAAAAAGAGTATTATGCCATACTGCAAAAGGTTCAGCACAGCGATGGAGATATTACGGATTGGTTAGAGTGGTTTTTCCTTTGCCTTAAGAATGCGCTCATTCAAGCTGAAAATGGAATGGAAAAAATATTGAATAAATCTAAGTTTTGGAAGATTCATGAAGGCAGTGTTTTCAATCCAAGACAGCGTATAGTTATAAATAAACTCTTAGATGGTTTTGACGGAAAAATGAGAACTTCTAAATGGGCTACATTAGCTAAATGTTCCTCAGATACTGCTTTACGTGATATAAAAGATTTATTGGAAATGGGAGTATTTGTTCAGGAAGATTCTGGAGGGCGAAGCACTAGTTATTCTTTAGCGCCATTTTAGGATTTTTTCCTCCCCACCACATCAATATTATGAAAATAAACTTCATCGCCAAGTGCTGAGAGTTTATCTTCTTCGACTTCATTTATATATTCTAAGTCAAAGTCTTGGAAATAGCTTAAGGCTTTCTCTTTTGAGACGAGACATAAATGATTCCAACCATGATTCAAGCCAAAGAAATTTCCGCTAAATCGGCCACCTGGTCTAATATTGGAAACTATATTCTGCATGAGCGAATCGAAGTATTCCTTCTCACAAAAGGGGAGAACGAAAGAACAGTTGACGAGGTCTACAGTCTGCCAAGGTATTTCTTTAAAATTAGCTCGAGTAAATTGAAGATTTGGATGATTAGAAAAACGCTCATGAATGATACGTTGCGACTCTTCCTCTGGATCAAAAGCTATCACTTTCCATCCTTTATCTAATAGGTAGTTTATATCATTACCTGCCCCACTACCTATATCCATGCATAGTCCATGGAAATTTTCTTTGTCGAATAAATCAAGCGCACGGACTAAATTCTCTCTAGGACCACCATTTCGGGTCTTTTCGAAATATTGAGGCCAGAAATTTTCGTTTGATTTTGGTTTTTGTTCTTCTGCCATGGTGCAAATTTATATTTAAATTAATTGTCGAAACCTAGTATTATATTGATTGGTGAGAGTATGCGAATTTGCATTCCAATCAACTTTATAGAAGGTATGAACGTGTTGGTCATTTCGACCAGAGGGAGAAATCTAAATAACTGCCATCAGACATCTCGTTCCTCCCTTCCTGTGGCAGACAGGGACGTGACATTGTGAAAAAATCATTAATACTTTTACCCCCAAACCTCTACCAAATCCAATAATTTATTGGAATAACCAATTTCATTATCGTACCAAGCGACTAATTTGACAAAATTTGGATTGAGCATGATTCCTGCTTTCGCATCGAAGATACAAGTTTCTCTCATTCCTAGCATATCTGAAGAAACAACATCATCTTCTGTATAAGCCACAATGCCTTTCATCTCATTTTCGGAAGCCTTTTTGATACAAGCTTTGATTTCGTCATACGAAGTCGATTTCGTCAATCTTACCGTCAAATCCACTACACTCACGTCTAGAGTTGGTACCCGAAATGCCATTCCTGTTATTTTCCCATTGAGCTCAGGTATCACCAAGGCTACTGCTTTAGCAGCACCTGTTGCGGATGGAATAATATTGCTCATTCCTGCTCGACCTCCTCTCCAGTCCTTAGAAGAAGGTCCATCTACGATTCGCTGAGTAGCTGTAACGGAATGCACCGTCGTCATCAAAGCTTCTTCTATACCGAAATTATCTTGAATTATTTTAGCTAAAGGCGCTAGGCAATTGGTCGTGCAACTTGCATTGGATATCATTTGAATATCTTTCGTCAGTTTAGTATGATTCACGCCCATCACAAACATGGGGGTCTCATCTTTTGAAGGACCCGTCATTAAAACTCTTTTAGCACCAGCATTGATATGTCCCTGTGCCGTTTCCTTCGTTAAGAAAAGCCCAGTAGCTTCCATCACAATATCTACAGCCAATTCACCCCAAAGTAATTCATTCGGGTCTTTTTTATTGGTGACTCTGATTTTTCGTCCATTGACAATCAAGTGATTTTCATCAAAGGAAACTTCACCTTTGAATCTACCATGTGTTGAATCATACTTGAGCATATAAACCATATAATCGGGGTCTATCAAATCATTGATGCCTACGACTTCTATGTCTTTTCTATTAAAGGATTCTATCAATACTAATTTACCTATTCTTCCTAATCCATTAATTCCGATTCTTGTCATTTGTTGTTTGTTTTATATAGTTTAAATAATTAGGCTAATAAATTTGAGGTTTTAATTAAATGCGCTTCTAATTCATTGTGTTTTTTTATAGCTTCTTCAAAAGGAGTATATAGAACTTGATTTGCTTTGATTCCTGCCATGACTGAGCTTTTACCTTCTAATAATCCGTCTATTGCTGCTACTCCTAACCGACTAGCTAACACTCTATCTGCGCAAGTAGGACTACCACCTCTTTGCATATGTCCTAATATGGAAATACGAGTTTCATAACTTGGAAATCGCTTTTTAGTCAATTCGGCTAAGTCATAAATGTTCGTATTTTTTTCACCTTCGGCTACTATGACTATATTTGAGATTTTACCTTTTATCGCACCCTTTTCAATATTGCTGAAGAATTCCTCCATATTGTATTTAGTCTCAGGAATCAATATTTCAATTGCGCCAGAGGCTATACCGCTATTCAGTGCTATAAATCCAGCATCTCTTCCCATGACTTCTACAAAAAATAGTCTTTGATGAGAAGTGGCGGTATCCCTTATTTTGTCTACAGCTTCCATGACAGTATTGAGAGCTGTATCATAACCTATGGTGTTGTCAGTGCCGAATATATCGTTATCAATCGTTCCTGGTATTCCTATTGTAGGGACTCCGAATTCTTTCTCAAATTTCATAGCACCTGTGAATGTACCATCACCACCTATAGTAACTAAGGCATCAAAGTCATGTTCGCTTAAATTTTGATAAGCCCTTTTTCTGCCTTCATAATCAAAGAAATCTTTACTTCTTGCTGAAAGTAAAATTGTGCCACCTAATTGAATAATTTGCTTGACATCCATCGCCTCCATTTTGAAAATTTCATTTTCTATCAATCCTTGATATCCTCGGCGGATTCCATAACACTCAATATCGTGCGCTGCACATGTTTTGTATACGCCTCTTATGGCTGCATTCATTCCTGGAGAGTCACCTCCACTTGTCAATAATCCTATTCTTTTTACATTCATCTCATTTACTTTTTATATTTAAAACAAAGGGCTCTGTAAATAGAACCCTTTGAAATAACCATTAAGTTTCAATCTTATGTTACTAAAATTTTAGTTAACAATTTGCGCTATCATAGCTTATTCTTTAATAAAATTAATAATTGAAACCTTGTCTTTATCATAGGCTCTAAGGATATATTGTCCTTGGCCTAAATGTTTGATATCCATTTCGAACTGAGTCCCCTTAGTTTCTTTACTTAGTACTTTTTGACCATTGATAGAATAGATTTCTACCGAATAAATCGTAGCTAAAGATTCCAAGCGGATGAAGTTTTTCGCAGGATTAGGATAGATATTGAAACCAGTTAATGAACCATTTGAAATACCTGAACTAGATTTTAATAATCGAACATTATCGAAGTAGAAATCAGCGCCTGTTCCTGCATTGTCCGCATCAAAGAATATAGCAAATTTTTGATACTCAGTAGCCGCACTTCCTATCAATCTCGGAAGCACAAACTCGAGTTCCTGCCATGAATTAGGTGTATTTAATGTTTGGTCAATATCAATAAACTTGTTTGGATCCAGACTACTTTGAAGTCTTATTCTCACTTTAATGAATGCCAATGGAGACCATACTTGCATTTTGATGCTCGTGGCATTGGTTAAATCTATGTTTGTTGGGAATTGAATACTCGCTCCAGATAGAGGTATAGAACCAGTTGTCTTGGTCGTTTTCGCTACTAAAGGTGAATTGTTAGAAGCATCAATATATGGGTTAGCAACTATGGATGTGGCACTGGTACCGACTGGACTAAATACATACAAACTACTCTTCTCAAAAGTAAGAGGGAATTTGAGAGTGTCAATAGGGGTTGGCGGCGGTGGCGGTGTTATAGCAGAAGATGTGTCTAAAGCTATATCATCAAAGTAAAAGGTCTCATTGGCGCCAGACACTCCGAAGTCAAAGAACACGACTACTTTAGAATAGTTTCGAGTGAGTTTGCTAAATGAATACTTTAATTCTTGCCAAGTATTAGCAGTAGTAACCGTTTGGTCAATTTCTTCAAATATAGTATCTGAGGTAGCATTTTCTATCTTAACCCTAACCTTGATTCCTGCTTTTGGGGACCATACTTTTAATTTAATTCCTTTAGCTGCTCCGAAACTGATAGGATTCGTTGTTTGAATGAACGACCCTGCCCAAGTTTCCGCTCCCGTACCTTTTACAGTTTTAGCAACCGTAGCTGAAGTATTAAGTCCATTGGATTGAGGGTTAGTCACCTTAATAGTAGAAGCTCCACCAAAATCAGAGAAAGAATAATTTAAAGTGGCATCTTCAAAACTGATTGGCAGTTTAATCTCTCCTGCAGGTGGGGGAGTGATTGTAGAAACTTTCAAGCAAACATCATCAATATAAACGGCTTCCGAACTTCCTTGCATACCTAATAGAAATCCTAAATTTACATTTGTGTTTGTTGTTGTAGCATTAAACGTTTGAGTGAAGGTTTGCATGGTTGTTGTCAAAGCATGAACTTGATTTGGAGTTTGATTATCCCAAGTTCCAATGTTCTGGATTACAACTGTAAGGTTTCTATTTGCTGCGGCTCTTGCTTTAAAAGTCAAAGTATAAGAAGTGCCAGCAGCGAGTGATAATCCAGATTTTGCTAACTGAGTGCCCCATGGGTCTCCAGTAGTATTTGAAGTAGAAAAATGAGCTTCACCACTTAAAACAGTGCCGCCTCCATCTAATATCCAGCCAGTTGCTCCATCAGAAAAATCTCCATTTGAATTTAAACATGAGCCAGCTGGAGGAGGTGTTATTGTTGAATTATAGAAATATATATTATCTAAATAAATTTTGTTTGTATCATTCAAACTAGCTCTAGCAGCAGAAACTATGATTTCTTTTATATTATTTCTATTCGCATTTGAATTCGCTACAGTAAAACTAGATAATGCCACATCCACCGTAACCCACTGACCTACAGCTGGAGAAATTATTTCATGTTGGATAGCATTAACTTCTCCTCCACCAGAAGCATGGTTTGACAGTTTAAAACTAAGCACCTGACCTGCATAAGCAGGACCACTCATCCAAAAATTGGCACGAAAATGGGTATAAGGATTAGCATCAAAACCACTGGCTAATACGATCCCTGCAAAAGCTTTTCCAACAGCCATATCTATAACTTTATTGTTATTGCCAGAAATAGGAAAATCAGTAATTCTAGCAGATGAAGGTCCCCAATCTGGTCCCCATTCTGAAACTACGACATTAGTGTAAGCATCGCTATATATTGATTTTACATTAGCCTCTGGTGCAGTCGGAGTAGGAGCTGGAGTTAAAGGGCCAGATACTACAGTGGCATTTTTATAAAAATAAATATTATCTATCAATATAGAGTCTGTGAAATTCGCACCTCCATTGTTATCAAATTTTATTTGTAATACCTGAGCTAAATTGACTCCTGCAAATGCGGTTAAAGGAATATCCATACTCGACCAGCCTGCAGTAGGTATAGTTAAATTATAAGAAGTTTCATTCGGTGGACTAATTAAAAATATTCGGAACGTCCCTGTCTGACCAGTGTAGTAATCGATGTGCAAATGAGTCATACCAGCCGCAGTCAAGTCTTGGGCGGTATTAAATTGCATTCCTTGATAATTAAACGATTTGAACTTCATCGTATTATTTCCCGAAATTGCAAACTGCGTATTTTGCGTCGCTTGTCCCCAATTCGGATTGAGATCCGCTCCGATATTGGTATAGGCATCGCTAAATACGGAGATGACATCCGCAGCAGCTCTAGTAGGAGTGGGAGCTGCCGAGATAGTCGCTGCGGCGTTCTTGTAAAAATAAATATTATCTATCAATATAGAGTCTGTGAAATTCGCACCTCCATTGTTATCAAATTTTATTTGTAATACCTGAGCTAAATTAACTCCTGCAAATGCGGTTAAAGGAATATCCATACTCGACCAGCCTGTGGTAGGTATGGTTAAATTATAAGAAGTTTCATTCGGAGGACTAATTAAAAATATTCTAAACGTCCCTGTCTGACCAGTGTAGTAATCGATGTGTAAATGAGTCATACCAGCCGCAGTCAAGTCTTGGGCAGTATTAAACTGCATTCCTTGATAATTAAACGATTTGAACTTCATCGTATTATTTCCCGAAATAGCAAATTGCGTATTTTGCGTCGCTTGTCCCCAGTTCGGATTGAGATCCGCTCCGATATTGGTATAGGCATCACTAAATACGGAGATGACATCCGCAGATGCTCTGGTAGGTGTAGGAGCAGCAGGGATAGAAGAGGTAGTGCTCGTATTATAAAAATAAACATTATCAAAATAGATTTTAACTGGATCTGATCCTGTAGCTCTGGCAGCAGAAATTATTATTTGAGCCATATTGGTTCTATTCGCATTCGTAATTGCGGTAAAATTCGCTATTGGAATGTCAAGCGAAACCCATTGTCCCACCGTCGGTGGAGCTACTGTATATTCCAGTGCATTGGTCTCACTGGCACCATCGTGATTCGATAGTTTTATACTGAGTACTTGACCCGCATTTAAAGGCGCAGACATCCAATAATCAATATGAATATGGGTGTAAGTAGTGGCATTGAATTTATTCGCCGCAAAATCAATGCCAGCAAATACTTGTCCAGAACCCATACTGATTTTTTTTGTGGAATTACCGCCAATGGTGGTATCTGAAATGGGTGTGGAAGAAGCTCCCCAATTCGGACCCCATTCTGTGACAGTAGTATTGGTATAGGCGTCACTAAAAATTGATTTTACATTTGCTGCGGATACAGTGGGCGTAGTAGCAGCTCCTGAAGGTGCTTGTGAAAAGCTCACTAAATAGGAGCAGATCATGGTGAGTAAAATTAGCTTTTTCATATAGTTGAATTTTAATTGATTTTATATTTTAATGATTTATTTTTTTAACTAGTTAATGGAAAATTATCCGTACTTCAATTTTTCAGTTTTATCCCATATCCCCCAATGAGCACCGACGTCTCCTTCAGGTCCTGTCTTCCAAGATTCATCAAACGAAGAAAAATAGAAAGTCTCTATACCCTTAGCTTGTGCCCATAAATGAGTAAAAACAAAATACTTCAAGGCATTGATTTGAGAAGGCTCTGCGCCTTTAAGGCTCTGTCCAGCGTTCGGCCAACCTGTTTCTGTGATAATAACTTTTTTACCTTTACCAGCTTCCAAAGCTTGATGGTACATGCCATTCATATGTTGTAAACTATAGTCAAATGGACATCCTTCCCAAAAAGGATAACAATTAGTAAGGATTACATCACATGCATCTGCGAGTTCCGGATGCACAGTAAACTCATAGTAAGCATCCACGTAGCCTACGGGGATATTGGGTAAAGATTCTTTTACGCGTTTTATATAGGTGAGCAATTGTTCTAGGCTTAAATCATTTCTATACAAGACTTCATTACCTACAGCGGCTATATCTACTTTTCCTTTTTTTGCCAAAAGGATTAATGCCTCTATCTCCAATTCATTTTTATCCAAATCATCACTCAACCAAGCACCTACCAAGGTATTCATGCCCTCTTCTTTGGCTATGATAGGTATATATTCATTCCCTTCAATACAAGAGAAGGAGCGCACCCAGTTTGAATAAGGTTTAATGATTTTCATTCTTCGCGAAACTTGATCTTTTGAAATTTCTACTCCTGGATTTTGTCCATCTTCATAGATACTAAAGCAAAAACCGTGTACGCGTTTGTTTAATATATCTAAAAACAATCGATTCAAATCACCTTCTGAAATATTTGCGAAAATCTCTGCCTCCAACAAATCTTTTGACTCGTTGAATTTATTAATATCGAATAAATGACTAGGGTTATATGACATATGTTAATTATCTTATGTTATAATTTAAAGCTTAAAATTTCCATTAACGTCCCAAAGACCCCAAGCGGTACCAGCTTTTCCTTCAAAATGATATTTCCAAGATTCATCAAATGAAGAAAAATAAAACAATTTCACATTAGCTTTTGCAGCCCACTCTTGAGACTCTACATAATAAATCATCAGATTCTCTTTGGAAGGAATCGATTCTCCCACCTCTTGACCACTGCTCGGCCAACCTGTCTCGGTCACAATCACTTCTTTACCCTTAGCTATTGCCTTGGTTTTATTATACATTTCCTGTAAATAGACAGACGCATGCTGAATATTGGCACCTTCCCAGAATGGGTAACAGTTGATAAGAATATGGTCGCAGGCATCTACTAAATTTGAATATTCTGTAAATTCATTGTAAATACCTACATATGATATGGGAACATTATTCGTGTTTTTTCTAACTTCATTTATATAGTTTATGAGGGTGGCTTCATCTTGATCTTTTCTATATAATACTTCATTCCCAACCGATGCCATATCTATATTTCCCTCATTTATCAATTTAATCAAGGATGGAATTTCTTTTATATTCTATACTGGGCTTACCATATTTAGCATTCCTTATGTTGCTATGGGCTACGAAATGAGTGATGATTTTCACGAGCGAACAAACATTATGGCCACTTCTCAACTCATTGGTCAATTGGATAATCTGTATCAATATCTAAATTGTAAAGTTTGATGCTTTTTTCAATTTTTGAAGTGCTATTTGTGACTATCGATGTGTTGTTATAGTTAATAGTGTATTGTAACATATTGGAACTATCTTCTGCATTGATTAATAATTCTAAAGCAGTGCTACTTGCATTTCCTATTTTGGCTGTAAAGTTGTGAGGAGGTTGTAAATCCTTTTTAAGAGTATCTTTTTTCGTCGTATCTTTAGGAATACTGTCTTCTTTTTGATAAATACGGATATAATCTATTTCCATTTTAGCTTGACTGAAAGTACCAGGAACGCTGCCTGCTACTCCACCCATAGCTATATTTAATAGTATATATTGTGGACTGTTAAATGGCCATGTACTGGCATTTTTTATAGTTGGATTGTATGTATAATACGGTACATTGTCAAGTAAAAACATTATTTGATTGGGTGACCAATTCATAGAGTATACATGATATTCTGTACCTAAATTATTTACTTGTTTACCACCCTGATTCACTGTGCTGCCTGAAGAAGAAGTGGTATGTATAGCACTCCCAAAGTAATTAGATGAATTAGCACCGTAAATTCCACATTCAACTATATCTATCTCTCCACAAGCAGGCCAATGTGTGGTACCATACTGAGCAGTGAAATATCCACCCGTCTCAATAATATTTTTACCAAGTAGCCAAATTGCGGGCCATGTTCCTTTATCTATAGGCATTTTAGCTCTTACATCGACGCGACCATAGGTAAAGGCAAATTTAGAATTCAATCTAGCCGAAGTGTAATTCTTAGTTACACTTTGATTTGTATAATTTTCTTTTTTCGCCACTATGTTTAAAAAACCATTATCTACAAATGAGTTTGTGGTTAAATCAGTATAATGTTGTAACTCTCCGTTAAACCATGAATTTCCATTAGGAAGTATTGTTTGATGGTGCCATTTAGAAGACTCTATCGCACCATTGGTATTGAACTCGTCGCTCCATACCAGTTTAGAATAGACTACATCCACTTGAGAACAAATTTTATTGCTCATTCCTACGGCTATCAAAATAAATATGATGAGTCTATACATTTAGGTGAGATCTATGCGAATGGTTTGTAGGGATTCTGATGGCAAATTTATCTTATATTTTGAGTTTTTTATATTTAGCGCTATGGTCTTATTGTTTTTTGAAGAGTTGAATAATACAATAACGAT